GTACAAGCGGGATCGAAGTTCCTGCGTCGAATGGTTTCCCGCAACCCGGCATACACAGCTACGGCGGCCCGCGGAATGGGTTGCGCACCAGCTCTTGAATGGACAGAGTTTCTGGTGGGGGACAGAAATAGGTGTCGTCGCGGCGCGCGGCGATCAGGGAATCAGGAATCCCATGCATTGATCGCGTCTTTCGCTATCGGCGCGATGCGATATCGACGCGGACGTCCAGCCACTGCACTGCACTGAATCGGTCAGACAGATGAGTGTAGTGGGCCAAATAACAACTTAACGAAACCAAAGCCACTGGTGTCGAATTGCCGTTAAAAAGACCGTCCCTGAATCCTGAAAATACCGCTTACTATACTGCCAAGGAAAACCGCCGTATGAGCCTTCACACGATGCCTAATTTCCTTTAGAAAATCACAAATTTCTGGGAAATGTTGTCAATATTGCTCTTCTAATTTATTAGAGGATTTTCTTTGGAATTAGATTAAAAGTGTCTGAAAATCTGAAGGAAAAATATTAATGACTTTGTCAAATCTCTCCCCCTCCCTAGGGTGTCCCTTACATGGGCGGAACGAGGAATTTTCTGTGGGAGGGGACACAGGGGGATATAGAATTTGGGGTAAGGGGGAACTGGGAGGCCTCCCCGACAAATTTTTGAAAATTGGAACGTCTCGAGGAAATTTTTGAGCCATTATCAATGGCAAATTGAATGGAATTAAATATTACAGATGACAGAAATAGTGCTGACTTGTTTTAAACACATCATATCTTACTGTGGGTTTTAGTTCATTCAAAACGTAACACTGTTAGGTTTTATTACATTCCCTATGCCTTTTACCTCAAGACTAATTAGTATCTTAAGCTCTTGATTTTTTTTGGAAGGGGCCGAGCAGAATTGTGTGGAGGGCCGTCCCCCCCCCCCTATTTCCACCCATTTCAGCCGCATTGTCCCTTATCTTTGAAATTTGAGAAAATTTGAGCTCCCCAGGTCTCAAAACGTGCTATGAGATGTAAAAAATAAGGAATATTTTCTCCAAAAAATTAAAATTTTTTTTATCGATCTCTCAAGCGCCCTAAAGGGCGCCTTTGGTTCGTAATCGTAACATTAAAAAAAANAAAAAAAAAAAAAAAAAAAAAAAAAAAAAAAAAAAAAAAAAAAAAAAACATGATCCCAACTCTCTAGTCCAAAAAGAGGACTGAAGACAAGAATGAGATTGAAACATGAAAGCTCCGGCTACACAGTGTCCTGGACGGTTGTAAGCAACTCTTCAACGATGGTTTTGGATATTTTCCCTCAAGAAGACTAATCCTTTCGTTAAAAAAGCGAAAACAAGAGGTTTAGACACATGTGTCAAGCTGTCTGTATGAGAAAGAAAGATGTAAGCTTCAGGAATAACCGGCGAAATTGGGTCGACAATGCTAAAATGAGCCGAACCCACAGATGCGCCTGGTAAGCAGATTTACCTTTCCCCTGAAAATGGTAGTTTACGGCCAAAGCCTCAGAGATCCGGTGAAATGACCAAAATTTTGGTCCGAAGAGTTAGGTTAGGTTAATTTCCAGCTGGGATGAATTATTCGCAACCCTGTGTCGGCAGCAAGAGGCTCGAGTTCCCTGCAAGGTCTACGAGGCGCGTCGGAGGGTGGTCACCGCGCCTCAACCGGCCGTTCTTTCGGCCAGACTCAACTGGCCGACTTTCCGGCTACGGATGCGACCAAATGGAAATTATTTTTCTAAAGCACCGCAATTTGGATGATGTCCGTAGTGAAACGACACTGATTTTGTCAAGATACCAATTTTGACACGTGCGTCCTTTAGGGCGCTTGAGAGGTCGGTAAAAAAATTGTTTTTGAAAAAACGTTCCTTATTTTATTAACTTCCCTCAAATTTCAAAAATGAGTGACACCCTACCTATCTCCCCTTGTTTTCTACGCCGACATAAGAGAGACCCGGGAGAAAAAGACCGAAATGATGCCCGAAAGTAATGTCAAACCTGAAGAAGACCCTTGAAAAGTTGTGACTAGTCGGAGGACTGCAATCCCTGGACTGCCGCCCACTTAGGGACGAAATCATCCATAAAACCCACGCTGCCCCCATAAATTTCACTCTTGATTCTCAACCAATTCAATGTTTGGTAGTCTTATTCCGTTGCTCGGAAAATCAACGAGGGCTTCCGCCGGATACGGCCCTTTCGTAAATAAACTGAGGATCGTTCGCGCCCATTTTTACATGAAAAATCTTATTTCTTTTCCCTATTTTCTACGCCGACAAAGGTGAGACCTGAGAGAAAAGGACTAAAGTTTAATGTCCAACTTGAAGATGACCCATGATAAGTCGGAGTCGACTAGTCGAAGAACCACAATCCCTGGACTGCCATCCACTCTAAGGAGATGGACCAGTTCTCGTAGATTCTCTGAGCAATGGAATAAGACTACAAAACCTTGAATTTGTAGAGAATCACACGGGAAATTCAGAGGGGCAGCGGCGGTTTTATAGATGATGTTGTCTCTAAAGTAGGCGGCAGTCCCAGGATTGTGGTCCTCCGACAGGTCACAATTTTTCAAGGGTCCTCGTCAAGTTGGACATTACTTGCAGGCATGAACTAAGTCGATTGCTACCGGGTTTCTCCTTTGTCAACGTGGAAAATAAGGGGCCCGTGGCAAAGGACGACATTTTCAATGAAAGAATCGGCACGGACGTTCATCAGTTCATTTGCGAAAATGCAGTATCCTGTGGAAGTCATCGTCGATTCTCGAACAACGGAAAAATACTACAACGCCTTGACCCTCAAAAGTGCAATTTAGGGGGGCAGCGGGGGTTTTATGGATACTTTTGGCCCCAAAGTGAGCGGTCGTCATGTATTTCTGGTATGGGCCTGTTGCAAACTTTTGCTAGAGCAAAAATAAGAGTTGTTTCTGATAGATAATGCCTCAAAAATCACGATGAGCGCATCGGCAAAGTCTGAAATGCACTCATAACTTCACAATCTGCGTAAGAAATTTGCGTTTTTTTGAGATTCCCGCTTCAAAAACGATACTACGGCATAGGTGAACATCTTGTTAGAAGAGTCGCTCCATCGTCGGCAATATTCATCATGGCCGACGCTTGCGCAGTTCCGCGCGTAATTCGAGGAGCGTTCAAGGTCAATTAAGGCGGGTGAGGAAAATATGAACGTAAACACGCCGATTGTTATCTGGTCTAGTCCTGTTCAGGTGTTATCTCGTCCCATCAGAGGTATTTTGGCGGATTGTCGTCGGCCATGATGAGTATTGCCGACGATGGAGCGACTCCTCTAACAAAATGTTCACCTGTGCCGTAGTATCGTTTTTGAAGCGGGAAGCTCAAAAAAACGCAAATTTCTTACGCAGATTGTGAAGTTATGAGTGCATTTCAGACTTTGCCGATGCGCTCATCGTGATTTTTGAGGCATTATCTATAAGAAACCACTCTTATTTTTGCTCTAGCAGAGTTTGCAACAGGCCCATTCTAATAACTAGTCGTGTTTCTTAAGGGACCCTCGTCAAGTATGGCAGATTTTCGGGCACCATTTAAGGTGAATTTCCTGATTTCCCCCGCTCTGAAACGAAAAAAAAGGGGGACAGGGGGTTGAGAGTAATACAACCTCTCCGTCAATTTACAGGCCGCTTCCGCGATTACATTTTCAAGAAGATGCACTCGGACTCGATGCTAATTCCGTAGCTCGGAGATAGGAGCTCTTTCGGACTCATCGCATTTTAATGAAATTGTTTTATTGAATTAGACCCCTCCCCCTCCCCGGTGGGGCCCGTGGTGGCTCCAACACGTGGGAGCAAATGAAGATTTAAGTGTCACATGTGGAGTTTCTAAGGACTTTCTAAAAAGAGAAACGGTCTATCTATGAGCCGTCGAACCTACACTAAAGCCCTCGTCTCACGATCAAATGAACTCATCAAATGCAAGATGGCGGGTTCATCAACATTGACGGCCCGCTAACTTTTGATAGCAGACTTGCGCGAAAACCAGTCGCCATCTTGCATTTGATGACTATTTGATGAGTTCATTTGATCGTGGGACAAGGGCTTATGAAATAAAGGTGCAAATCCCCCAGATAAACTTTGGGCGGATAACATTTGGCAGGGGGATCGGATTGACTCGCAGTTTCCGCCGATTTTTTTTTTTGGCCCTTGTCATTTTAAATTCTCAATTCGAAAACTGAAAACTGGAAAGTACCTCACAAAGTTTTTCCCTTGATATGAAGAAGGACGCCGAAAATTTAATATTCCTATTCCACTTTTACCTTTTACCCCTAGAAAATAAAAGCGGCAAATCTGTATTGGCAATGAAGACTTAAACAAAATAAAAATAAAAATAATAAATTTAAAATAAAACCCAGAAAATAAAAGAAAACCTAAGATATATGAGTACGCCAATTTAATGACTACATAATTGTGTTAGATATTGTCGATTGCATTTGATGGTTTATTATGTAAAAAAGATCATGGCCGCAGTTTCGAACGTTTAAGGTTTTGTGGTCCTTTAAAATTTTGAACATTTGAAAAGAGCGGCAAATTCAGACAGCCTAAGCTTCTGATCAAATAAAATCAGTTCATTGAAATACTTTGGCGCTTAAGATTTCTTGCGCGCCCCTCCCCCTCTCTACGATCAGTCTCTATCAGTGGTGCGGCGTGGCGTGAATGATCGACTATCGACATCTCTCCATTTGAAGCTATGGTAAAGAATCGATTATTAAGGTGTTCGTTGCGAACACCCTGTCTATCGATCCTTTTCCATTGGTTTAAATGGCAGATCAATCGATACATCGCAAAGCACGCCACGGCACTGGTCTCCATCTTTTCTCAGCGACACTCGCCGAAACAGAATCATCCTCACTCTCAAACACGATTCTGGATCGAGCAGCCGATTTATGCGATAAAATTTACGGTCATAGTTTCCGGGTATCTCTCGGTTTAATCAACAACGCAGGAGCACGCCAAACGCGTGCGGAGGAGATGTAGAATCCGTGAGGAAACGCATTTATCTATTCAAGAACTGGAGTGCAACAATTTCCCCGGTGCCGCCGTTGATAAGTGTGTACGGCGGGTTGCGGCAAACCGTTCTAGGTAGAACGTCTTAGCTATGTATGGCGGGTTGCGGGAAACCATTCGACGCAGGAACTTCGATCCCGTTTGTACGGGTGCTCTGGGACACCCTGTACCTATAGCTTTTCAAACTAATGTTTTTTTTTTTTCTTTGCCTTTATAGGTACTTATGTATGATGAAACAGTGGTTTAAAATGCAGGTAAGTTTTTTACCTTCCTGATTTTTACCTTTACCAAAGTTACTCCTAATTAACGTGAATTTGCATATTTTCTTTAATGGTTAGTACAGTTTGTGTCATCTTGCGAAATCTTGCCTTCTTATTGATCTTAAAAAGAGTAATTCCTTAACTCATCAGAAGATTACAAAGCCATGTGACTGTAGAATATGAACGACCGTGAACTCAGCTTGATTTATGGCTATGCCACAAAGACATTGAATCACGTAGACTGTGCATCCTGTGTTACGGAAAGCGTTACAACTTTTCAAACTTCGCATGCTGATGAGCATTAGCACTGACCCGCATCGATGAGTTCGTGTGTCCCAAATGCGCACATCTGCGCATGCGCAGTAGCGGCCCCGGTGAATTTTTGTCGGAATGTGCGGCTTTTTTCTTGGTTGGTAATTAGTTTGGAAAACTGAAACTTCGCGATTCGATTATAAACTTACGTGTTCTCCAACTTTTATCCTAAAGAATTTTGTCTGAAAATGGACTTAAAATGAGATATTAGCGAAAACCCGAGCGCGCGAACGGATTCTCCATTGCTTTCCTGCAGTCTCTTCGAGTGCTTGGGACATTGGACACACGATCTTTCTCCCCCTCTCTTTCCGCCCATCATGTTGATCCGAGAAACTTGTCACGCTTCGCCTGTACAAAACCGAGCCGGATGCACGGTCTACGTGATTCAAAGTTTCTGCCACGCTGTTAATTTTTTCTGTCATTCGTTTCAATATGGCTTACAACTAGCATTTTTTAGAAAGGATTAATTCAGTCTCTTCCTTGTTTGATATGGCCAATAGTCTAAGAGCTAGCTGCACTTTTGGCACCATTACTTGGCCATGCTCGAAACTTTGGTAAAACTTAGCTCTGACGTAAGTGACTTAGTAACTGATTGGGTGGCATCAGACATTGTCTCCTGTTCTTATGGTCTCTCCATTTTGTGAAAATGTGAATAAAGCTCATTTAAAAACACTCAGAGAACCACATTGGGATAATCTATAAGTGTCTTGAGCTTTGTATAACAGCAACGCTGCACATGACCATTACTTGAGATATGTTTGAAAGTAACTTTACCTTTTCAAGCAAATCAGAGTTCATGCTGTTGTTGGGGGAGCCTGAAAGTGGCTGTCTGGCGCCATTAAATCATGAGTAGAGGCTGTTATAAAGTTTTGCATAAGTACCTTAGTATTATTTTACTACTAATACTTTTGACTCGTAAAAGCGGACTTAATTCAAACTATAGTTTTGCCTTAGCAGACAAACTCAAGTTAATGCAGTTTTTAGGGGGAGTTCAATAAGAGACTCCTTGGTGCTATAAAATCATGCTTTTAGGCGAATTTGGAGACTCTTTGAAGTAATCAGCTGTTGTTCTCTCAGCCATAGCTTGTAATTTACAAGGACCCTTTTTTCATTTCCTCTGAATTACAAATGAAACACAAAATCTGTATAAACAGGGTGGCAATCCAAACACGGGCCGTTTTTAGGCAAAATATTTGTGTTTTTGCAAACAAGTGTTAAAGTTCAGTGTGCAACCGAAAATCTCATTAAAGATGGAAAGAGCTCATTCGTGCACGATAGGTATTCCCTAGTTTCTCTATGAGGGAATATTATGCTCGAATGAACATAATAATGCAAGATAATACTTCCTTCAGAAATGAACATTTCAGTTGTTCACTGAGTTTTAACTATTGTTGGCTAAATCTTCAACATTCTGTCTATAAAATTGATACTGTAGCCTGTAGAAGTCCTCTGGATGGTCCAGTCCAAGTCAAAACAACGCTCATAAAGTACCTTAATGACAACTATAACATATATGTATACTAGGTTGCGGCTTATTGGTATGCAAAAAAAAAGTTGGAAAAGTTCAGATCCCCGGTTTCCAATAGGTACCAATACATGTAAAAAAAATCCTGTAAAGTTTCAGACTGATCAGAGCATTTTTAGAACTCCTGCCAGTGACGTTTTTGCCAAAAAATCGAGTTTTCGACTTTTGCCTCTGAATTACTCGCCCTGTGATAAAAAATGGCTTTTTGCTGCAAGATATACGTGTCATAGCGAAAAAATGCTTATTTTCAAAATTAAAGATCCGAGCGTTAAATTTTACATTAGAATCATGTCGGAGATGGAGACAAATTCCAAAAAAATCACTCATAACATTCATCCCTCAGGACAAAAAAAGCCGAGCTCAAAAAAATGCGGCCGCACTCAGATAGTGTATGCAAAAAAAAAAGAAAAAAAAAATGCCACTAGTATAGGTTTGGGGGGTGATAAAACTATAAGTAGTACAGCTAGGGTGGTTCTTATTTTTCGACTTTTCGAAAATCAAATGTCCAGGTATGTTTCCATGTTGCTAAAATCTGTGGTTTCAGTGGTCGAGTACTTAGAAAACCATATTCAAGAAACCTACGCATCATAACTATCGAGAAAATTTATTTTCAGTGATATAACGGGACTTACCATCGGTAAGTTGCCCCTTTTAGCCATAAAATACCTTTAAGTCGACTTTATTTTCCAGGAGCTCTACAGATTGTTTTTCTTGTCGGCTTAAATAACTCGGCAGACACTCTACTTCATGAATCTGAAGCGTCATTGCTTTTGATTTGTCAAAACATTTAAATTCGTTCAGGCAAACCGTGCGGGGTGAATGTTAGGAAAAATCGGCAAAATCGCACGATGTGGCCACTTTGAGGGGAGGAAGCGGTCATTTTTAAAGTAGTGGGGTGAATTGTGTTATTTTTCTCGTAAAGTGTAACCCTAAAAAGTGTATTACCTCCAAAAATTTCAAAGCCATAGCTACATTTCAAAGGGGAGAAAAAAATTCGCAAAATGACGAAAAAACGCAATTGTCCGGAATTTGAAGTTCCCGCTTGGAGACTAGGTGGTGCCGCCGCGCCGCGGGGCACCACCTAGGACGATCCGATCGGGCTGAAATTTTTCTTAGGTTCTTTTCACACCAAATGACAACTTTTAGGGGGGTCGGACATTTGATTTCCGGAAAGTCGAAAAATAAGAACCACCCTAGCTGTACTACTTGTAGTTTTATCACCTCCCCCCCCCCCCACCTATTCTAGTGGCATTTTTTTTTTTTTTTTGCATACTTTATCTGAGTGCTGCCGCGTTTTTTTTGAGCTCGGAGAAGAGGTGTCCTGAAGGATGAATGTTATAAGTGATTTTTTGGAATTTGTCTCCATTTCCGTCAAGATTCTAATGTAAAAAACGGTCTGATTTTTAATTTTGAAAATAATTATTTTTTCGCTACGACGCGTATATCTTGCAGAAAAAAGCCATTTTTGATCACAGGGCTAGTAATTCAGAGGCAAAAGTCGAAAACTCGATTTTTTGGCATAAACGTCACCGGCGGGAGTTCTAAAAATGCTACGGTCCGTCTGAACTTTACAGGAATATTTTTTAGATGTATTGGCACCTATTGGAAACCGGGGAGCTGAACTTTTCCAACTCTTTTTTTTGCATACAATTAAGCCGCACTCTCATGTATATCTTTAAGGATGGTCAATTTTTTAATTTTTTTTCATGAGAAGGACGGTCCAACAACACCTTACCCAAATTCACGTCTCATATTTGTTCGTTCTCGTAGGGATTGCAATTCAACATAGGGAAATCGTTTGTATGAATTACTGTTTTTCACCTATTTATTTAATTTTCTTTGCAGATAAGCAAAAAAGAATTTGAAGGAGAAATAAGGAACATGCTACCACAGCATCAGCTACACTTGCATAATCGGTTTATTCTTCGATTAATCAGCAGTTGCCTCAAATCAGAGGATGACACAGCAAAAAAGAGGTTTCTCCTTTCCAAAAAAGTCGAATTGGTAAAAAACAAAGAGCCCTGTGAGCCCCCCCAGAAAATGCCTAAAATCGAGGAAGAAGTATCGAAACCTTTTGCAAAATCTGCTGACTTTATAGTATGTTACCTTTAGCACCTTTAGCTCGTAATTTTTAATCTTCCATAGGGTAATAATGTTTCCTTTGTAACGGTAACATCAAAATAGACTCGTTTAGGGCTACATTACATCCGGTATTGTCTGCTTGCTTTAAACGTTGTGGTTCATACTCTTGTTACAATTCTTCTTACACTCATGAGCCTTTCAGGAGAGTGGAACCCTTGAATTGCAGAACAGTCTTGGTAGACTTTAAAAACACCATAAACCAAGAAGAAAATGGTGTTGATAGCTATGAAAGCATACAAAGCGTAAAATCAGGCAGTTCCAAAAAGTTCTTCCAAAACCTTTTTTCTCTTATCGGTTGCTCTGCTGAAAGCCGTAGTTGTGTCCTCCTCTACTTGTTTTCGGTCATCACTTTAGGGAATAATTTTTCAATATTTTGCTCTTGCTTTGCCATTCAGAAGTATTATCTCTACGAGAATCAGTTTATTAGTACTTTAGGGACATGTTTAGCAGTATACATACAGGGTGTCCCAAAAGTCCCTTCCACCCCCTCTAAAATTTTACCCAATTTATATTTTGAAACGAAACTTTGGGGATGTCCATCGATCAATGTAAGCTACTTTTGGGACCCCCCAAAATTTTCGCCCCCCCCCCCCCCCCNTCGAAAGAGGATAAGAAAAGAACATTTTGGGCGCAAACCGCAAGTCAAAATCTTAATTTTTGACAAAATGGCGGCCGGTCAAAGTTCAAAATCATGGAAATTTGACATCTCCGCTTTTTTGACGGATTGGGACGAATATTGGTATCCGACGGTTTTTTGAGACGAGGAAAACGATTCTAGCATTAGTTTTCCGGACATCCTGTCCTTCTCAAAATGGCGGCGGTCAAATTGGCGACCTTGGAGCGGTAAGGGAGTATTTAGGCTGTCTATCGGTGGATTTGCTTGAAACTTTATATTAGGGGGTATTTAGGCATGAGAAAAACGAATCGTTCATGGGGTTTTTGAAATTCTGAATAAGTTCAAAATGGCGCTGGAAAAGTGGCGGAAACTTGGAATTACAGACGTTTACGGTTGGATTCGCATGAAACTCGAGGTTTTGTTGGTTTCTGGTTCGAAACGAATGGCTCTCTTGCTTTAAATTTTTGAAATGTTGCTCACTTTCAAAACGGCGGCCGAGTTTCATACGAATCCTACCGTAAACGTCTGTAATTCCAAGTTTCCACCACTTTTCCAGCGCCATTTTGAACGTATTCAGAATTTCAAAAACCCCATGAACGATTCGCTTTTCTCATGCCTAAATACCCCCTAATACAAAGTTTCAAGCAAATCCACCGATAGACAGCCTAAATACTCCCTTACCGCTCCAAGGTCGCCAATTTGACCGCCGCCATTTTGAGGACAGGATGTCCGGAAAACTAATGCTAGAATCGTTTTCCTCGTCTCAAAAAACCGTCGGATACCAATATTCGTCCCAATCCGTCAAAAAAGCGGAGATGTCAAATTTCCATGATTTTGAACTTTGACCGGCCGCCATTTTGTCAAAAATTAAGATTTTGACTTGCGGTTTGCGCCCAAAATGTTCTTTTCTTATCCTCTTTCGATTGATGTGTCACAAAGGGGGAGGGTTGNGGGGGGGGGGGGGGGGGGGGGCGGCGAATATGTTGGGGGGTCCCAAAAGTAGCTTACATTGATCGATGGACATCCCCAAAGTTTCGTTTCAAAATATTAATTAGGTAAAATTTTAGAGGGGGTGGAAGGGACTTTTGGGACACCCTGTATGTATACTGCTAAACATGTCCCTTTAAGTACTAATAAACTGATTCTCGTAGAGAAAATACTTCTGAATAGCAAAGCAAGAGCAAAATATTGAAAAATTAGTCCCTATAGTGATGACCGAAAACAAGTAGAAAAAAGAGTTTTTCAACCACTCGATTCTCCGCAGGATGCTGATCAAAAGTTAGCATCGCGCCAACTTTCTACGATGCACCGTTTTCGCAAAAAAAAAAAAAAAAAAAAAAAACGGCCGAGAAGATCCAATTATTCGGCGATAAAAAGCCAGAAAGATTCCTCATTTCAGCATTCAAGTGAAGGAAATCAGGGGAACTCCCGCACCCAGCGGCAGTCTTATCTCGGATTCCGCACCCAGTTTTGCTCGACCATTCAAGTCAGATTCTTGAGGAGCATAAGAACAGGAAATTCGGAGAAAAACGGTGAACGTCAACCGGATGAGAGCGGGAGAGAGATAGCCCCAGAGTCGGCAGGTATAGATAAGAAGACGGACACGCGCCATTTGTTTTCCTTATTTACATTAGAGTACCTGTATAGACAGAGTATGGCCATTTCTGTGCCGGCTTTTCATTGTTCGCGTGCAAATAGGCTGACACGATATTCTTACGGCCGTAAATAAATAATAATAAAGATGGCTGCTATGAGCAAGCAAGTTTGAGGTTATCCACATCTTACATCCTCCTGCAATGAAGATGAAATGCGATTTATCAGTGTTTTCATGTGTTTTTTTTATATGTTATTTGTAGATATGCCGGTTTAAATTGTAACTGCCATATAATTTAGTTTTTAACGGCTTTGGATTCTCCATGACCTAAGCTTCTACGAGATACGAATACGTTCCTAAGAAACTTATTTCATCTCGTGGGTACAGCGCCTGAAAAATCACAAAACAAGGAATTGGCGATGATTAATAAAAGCAGAAGAAACTATGTGTATTTCCCTTTCATTTAATGCGTTAACCGGGATTCCGAATCAAATCAACAGGAACTATATCCACCAGTATGTCCTCATGTGTACATCCGTGGGCCAGTTTCTGAAGAAAGTTGGTGTGTGGTTTATGAATCTCTTTGTTGAGATGTCCAGAATCAGAATTTGGATGCTGATTACCTTGGGAACCGTTCAGGAAGCCCCTAAAGCCCAAAAACAAAATGGCCGCCAATCGACAACCCGTATTTTTGAAATTTCCGTATTATGTCATGTAAGATATTAATTCTTAGTTTTTTGGATCGTGAAATCCGAATATAGATTTTAAAATTCCCCTCGGTCCATGGAAATGACGCAAATCCAGTATGGCGGCCGGAAACAGCCACGCGGCGAGATAATCGCTAATTTCTCATTTTACCATCAAGTGAGCTGGTCATTGATTGTATTACGGGGTCACAAGCTTCGAGCATAGAGTTATGACCCACTATACAACTCATACAAACCCCTCAAAATCCAATATGGCTTCCAAAACTGCCGGCGGGTAAAAGCCGTTTTTCATGCCGCAGTGTAAGCGGGATATCGTTGCATATGTATTTTTGAGGCGTACATTACGAATATGAAGTCAAAAATACTCTTGACTAATCTGGAAGCTTGCAAATCCAATATGGCGGCTAAAATGCTAGCCATAGGTAGAAAACAGCAATTATACACTGCGGTAGGTGTTATTTTATACAGTTTTAGGGCCCGTTGTTCTAATAGGATGGTCTTACTTTTGACTTTTGATGCTATTGAATTAGTAATGAACGTATCTTACTATATTATAAAATCGTAAGCCCCAAAATTTTCGAGATCTGTTCCGCGCTGTCCTCAAGTTACCGTTAGGAAGAGGGTATGGAAATTTTACGGAGTTGTGACATCTTATGTGCTGTAGCACGGTGCGATCTCCTTTTTTTGAATTTTTCATTTTTAGCCGAGTTATTGCGAAAAATCTGCAAATTTATTTTTGCCTATTTCGTGACTAATATTGATCCTATGAACTTGAAATTCGTCATGATGAGGGGGCGAGCTGAAATGGTTATGCTGAAGCTTTTTGTCCATAAAATGTTTACAATTGGTCGACTTATCGCGGAAAATCTAAAAAATTCATCCTGTCTATGTCAAGGTGTACAGAGCATACCATTGAAGTCCCAACATAGACATTTCTACCCACCGATGCAACCTTACACGCGCACGTGCACCTCGAAGCCCGATTTTTGAAATTTTCACCCACACGAGAGTAATTACCTTTTTTCCAAATTTGCGAAACTGGGACAAACAATGTGGATGCCAGATTGCGCCGATATAACACGGATTCTCTTTAAAGACAAATGAACGTTTTCGATATTTTTTGGGACAGACGGCAGCTTCCTAAAAGACCCATAAAACTCTCGCGCGACAGTTTACGAGCCGAGAGGGTCGCGGTCGCCCTCGCCCGGACGTGAGCCCTGCTGTGCATATATTCTTATGGGTTTCGGGGCTCATATCTTCATGCACATAGTTCCGTTTGGCAGAAATACGTCCAATTCTACAGCAGTCAATTTTAACAACGTCACGACTGATCATAAGTCAACCATCCAGAGTCAGCTAGGAACTCATTTCACCAAACTATAAGAAAACTCGGGGGCCCAGAGCCCAGATGGCCTACGCCTTCGGTCCTATACCCTCTCAGTCCTTGAAACAAATTTACGACCTGGGGGTTGGGTCGCGGAGCGGCCAGGGGGCGCAGCCCCTCAGTAATAAAGTAAATTCGTAAAAAATTACTTTAAACGGTGCGTAATAGGCCTTGAAGTTGAGCCGCGCGAGCGTCTGATTTGCGGATTTTGTGATTTTCGACGCTTTGGTTCGTCCCGCAAACATGAAACCCGTGCCGTGAAACATCTAAAAATTGGTCAACAGGCACAACATTTCATGTATGTTTACGTAGTGAGCACAGTTTTTATTCCAAAATTCTACGAACACCCTTTAGTCCAGGAATAATAGCATTTTCACTGGAAAGTTTCTTAACATTACTTAAGTGACACTTTTCTCATGTGATTTTTTGCGTGGAATTCGAATTTCAACTGTGCCAACAGTAAAACCCCGGAATATCCGCCATTTTGGAAAAAACGTTGCCAAATCTCGTTTTTTTGTCAAAAAGTCTAAATATCTCGCGAAATATGCATTTTTAGGCAAAGTGAGTTCTTTTCGAAACTAAAGAGCGTAAAATTTCCGATAGGAATGGTCCTCTTACATGAGCGTGTGACCAAAATTAAAGTTTCAGCCATCC